CTTCTAAAGCAACACCGAGGGAAGAAACTCAACAAGGGGGGAAGGTGGCAGCTGGGCTGGGCTCTTCCTTGTTCACAGTGAATTTGTGGTGACGGGGGGGAGGGGGGATCCCACGCTCACAGGTTCTGCTAAAAAAAAAAAAAAAAAAACCCAAAAAACCCAAACCACAAACCACCCACTTTGGCCTCGCTGGATCTCCTCCGCAGGGGAGCTTGCTCACACATGATTTAAATCCCCGCAGCATAGTTTGGGGAGAGGGAAGGGCGGGGAAAACCCCTCCGGTGGGGACAGCAGGGAGGAAAACACAGGGACGCTCGTGGCAGCCCCAGTGGCGAGCTCTTGGGTGCTCGGGGTGGTGGGGGCAACGCTGTGGAGCCAGGTTTTGGCTCTCTAGGTGGTGTTAGACCCTACGAGATGCTAAAAGCGATCCAGTGAGCTTCGTCAGCGAGCTGAAATGGGGAAAGCGGTTTCTCCATCGTGGCCACACCGGTTCTGAGGCCACGGGTCGGAGGGAGCGCGGGGGGAGAGGCAATTTGTTCCCTGAAAATGCCCCATAAGGGATGTGTCATCCCCTCCTTCAGCCCTGAAAGAGAATTCACGCTCCAAACCAGAGGGAGGAGGGGGAGATCAGCACTGCAGGGGCTCAGGATGGGATCGGACCCTTCATCCCGACCAAGGGCCAGCTACAGGGGACGGGAGAGGGCGGAGGAGAGCAGCGCCTGGGTCAGCCCTGCTGCGGAGGGAGCAGGGCAATGGCACTTCACTTGGAGAGAGAGAGAAAAAAAAAAAAAGAAGAAGAAATAAAAGCCACATATCGTTTGGAAGAATCAGGCTGGAGCCAAGTGCTCCCGGGGGGACGGAGCAGCTCTGGTCCCCACAGCCCCCGCCAGCCCCCCTTACTCTATCAGTTCCACATAATTGGCAGGGAACATGCCGAAGTGGCCGTCGGGACCGTAGCCGCGCCACCAGCCTTCGTCGATCATCTCGATGTTGGTGATGATGTTCTCCGGATCAAACGAGATCTCGGTGTCATCAGCTGGAACGAGACAGAGCGAGGGAGGGGGTTAAAACCAACCCGACCCCAACCCCCCCCGAAGCCCCC